AGTTGAGTGTCTGCTGTACATCCACTGGAACTATGCTAATTAAATCCATTTCAATTTCCAGTTGTAAAACGGCAAAATGTTAGAACACTGAGAAGGGGTAAATACTCCTGCAAGGCAGTTAGTTGTGGAAATTGTCTTAACAGCAGATGTAGAGAGGAGTGCAAATGGTGTTACCAGTGAGGTCTGAAGAAACTGGAAAAATGTTTAGGATTCGTGATCTTTGTATGACAATCTGCTCATCAGTCTTTCAGCTACTTCGTTAAAAACTGTAATTAAAATATGTCCAAATAGCCAGATGTTATCACTAGCCACAAATGAATTAATGGTGGAGGAAATGAATATCTGCAGTTCACTGGCTTTTATTCCTTCTTTTATAATTGCACAATTAAGTGGACATATGAGGCAACACAGAATTCCTCTCATTCAACTCCCTCCCCACACACACATGCGCTCGCTCGCTCGCTCGCTCTCTCTCTCTCAGCTGATGGTTCAAGTAAGTAGCATGGTGAACAACTACTTCAGCAGTGGGGGTCCACACTGTATCTGCCTTGCTTTCTTCTACAGAACAACACCCTCCTTTCTCAAGGTTTAATCTTCGTCTATGAAACATGCTATATACTTAGGATAGTATCCTGCAGTGCCACGGAGTAAGTGTTGAATGGAGTTTGAAAGGATCACAGGACTTAAACCCAAAAGCAAGATTCACATCTCAGAACTGTAGAAAGATGATATGTACACGTGGATAGATTTCACAAGCTTATACAACCAGTCCTCCAACTCCCATGTGGACTGAATTCACCTAAATTTGTTTTTCTAACCTGCTGTTAGAAAACTTTCTTTGTTGCCCTTTTAGTTGACCATTTCTGGAAAAGGGTGAGAGTGTAACCTTGCTGGACATCTCAGTGCCATTCAGTAATACCAGCCATGGGATCCTTCTGAATAGGCTCTCTGGTTGGGAATTGAAAACACTACACCATGTTGGTTCTATTCCTGCTTGGATGGCTGATTCCAGAAGCTGGTGCTGGGCTAGAGCAATATTCTGTATCTTTGCAGAAATATTATGGGGCTCCACATTTTATCTCCCATGCTGTTTAACATCTGCATGCAATGACTGGAGGAAGTTATCTGGAGCTATGGGTGACGGTGTCATCCTCACCCAGCTCTGTCTCTCGTTTTCATCAAATCCTGGGGAGGCAGTGGCTGTTCTGAATCAGTGCCAGGGCACAGTAATGGAGTAGGTGAAGCCAGCTAAACTGAGACTCAGTACAGACAAGATGAAGTTACTGTTAGTGGGTAGCTTCACCTGACCAGGTGAGTGCTATTTAATCTGAACTGTGGTTGTTGTGCCAAGATGCTTGATACCTTATTTTGTTAGCTAACTATATTTTGTATAGATCTCTCTTTTCCTTTGCAGAAATGAAAGTATGCTTCGTTACCAAACAAAATCTTTAATTTAATTTACCTTTTCTTGTCTGAAGGGGAGGAGGAGTACATGAGCTCATGGCCCACAGCAGCACACCCCCAACCTATGGCTACTTCTGAATGACTGCGGCTCTGCCTGCTATCTTTCGGCCATAGTCTGATTTTGTTGCTGGTAAAGCAATGGAGATAAGGCATCACAAGGAGTAATAAAATTCAAACTGAACTACTAAATGTCTTCAGAGTGATCTCTGCTGCTTATGGCTTTTAGTTGGCTGCCAGAGGCTACATGGATAATTCAACTAGAGAGAACACAAATTTTACATCTTGTAAAACTTCATGGCCTGTGTTCTACGATATTGCATGTTTTATGGCTATTATGGTAGCTTACCTGTACAATGTCTGGTTCTTGAGTTGTAGGGATAGTAAGAGGGAATCATGTGTTAAGGGAGGCTGTTCTTGGTTACTCTTATTAACAGGAGATGCAATTGATGCAGAGCATACCCGTAATGGGCTCACCTGGTTGGTTGTCCCTAGTAAAACCAAGAAGTGGCAGCATTACATACTTCATGGAGCTAATATTGTGGTTCAGGCTTAGGTTATAGAATTGCGTGCTTATTCCCATAGCTTATTCCCATAGCTTTCCTCTCTTGCTGGAAGCAGGTTTTCCTTTCAGTTTCACCATGAATAAGAATATTTCACTAGCTGTTTCTTTTGTAACTCCACTACTAATGGTTAACCATAGTTAAGGCCTATCACATGGGTCCTCAGACTACGGCCCGGGGGCCGGATCCAGCCCGCCATGCCCATTTGGACCCACTCCACGCACGTGCGTGCCACCACCCACCTCGCCCACGCGTGCGGGGAAGCAGCAGTTTGCTCACTCAGAGAAAACGATCTCCAAGCAAGCAAGCCACTGCCTTGTGCACCCTCCTCGTGGCGCGTGCCCACCCCTGCCTCAGCATGTGTGCCCGCACCCGCCGCCCCTGCGCCAACCTACACGCACTGCCAGCACCACCTTTCCGGCCCGCACCCGGCACCGGCACCTTCCAACTGGCGCCCTGGTTAAAAAGTTTGAGGACCCCTGGCCTATTGGGTTCTTTTGTAGCTACATCTTCCCTTGTGAGTAGATGCAAACTTGTGTTTACTGGGTTTCAATACGCAATGGCTGCTTGTTTTCCCTCTCTGCTTATGTCACCTAAGTAGCTTTATCACCCACTCTGAGTGCAGGTTGTGATGTCTGAACCGAGGGGGTGTGGGTGGTTGGGGTGGTTTACAAACCATCCTGTAACCTTAGAACAAGCCATGGGTTTCAGGATCATTTGTAGCCCTCCCCAGTCGCACCAAAAATAAACTGCAGTTAATGTTCATGCCGAGTCATTGTCCAACTGTAGATAGGTGGAAAGGAACATTTTACTTTGAGAAGGAAGGCATATTATTCGAGTGCTCAGCTCCACTATTCATTTGTCCACAAAGCTTGTTTGAATATTTATATATTGACATATTCAAGTTTCGAGGAAGAACACCAACTGCATTTGAAATGAGTGTTCATCTCCTTAATGTTGGCCTAATTCTTTCAAAGGCAACCATGTACTATGATTGCTTCAGGGTAAAGTTGGGGATCAAGATGAGTTGCCTGAATTATAAAACCTTCCAGACACAATGGATTAATGGATTATCTCAAATGGCTTCCAGACAGCAGTTATTGAGAGGTGTCTGTTTCAGTATAGCAGATAATTGTATTCTAGCTATTGAGGTTAATTGTATGAGCAACACCTAAGAATCAGTTTTAACCTTCTCCCTTCTAGAAACAAACCTGTTCCTGATTTTAACTGATTATCAGTTCCTGCCTTCATGCTTCACAATGACTTTTCTATTTATATTTTAATGCTTTCTAATGTGCCTACTGTCTTATTCACGTTAACATATCTACTTTATTTAAGGCATTCCCTTGTAGTTTGATGTTCTTATTATTGTACGTTTTGTTTCTAAGGGTTGTACCCAAATGGCTACATGCCAGTGGAATGGAAACTGCAGGCCAAATGGTTTCCCCTTCCTCATTGCAGCCCACCACATGCTCCAGATCTGCTCCAGAAGATTGGGGATCCCACCAGAGCAGATTTGGGTTGCCCACGGTGGGCTGTAAGGGGAGGTGAACACAGGAAAGTTTGTTTATATAACATTGGATTTCACAGTCCAGCCCATTTCTGATGTGATGAAAGGAAGCAGGGCAGCTGTTTTTTTCTACAAACTTCTATCTCTAAGGTGCAATTTGTGCATATATATATTTTTAGCCCCCAATGAAATTTTCATAGATCAGTACCTGAAAACCACATGTAAATTGTATACAGTTGCCTACATTGTACAAGTTGGTTGGTTCTGCTCAGTTCATGCTAGAGCCACATGGTTTGTGAATACTCATTTGTGCCAATTTCATTACTGTTGAGCAAATGGGCAAATCACAGTCCATCTTAAAGACTGATTGCTTGCACAAGGCTAACAATCCAGTTTTTCACATTGTGAAAAATCATACAAATTCATCAGATTTTACCCCCCCCCCCCACAAATCTTCACACATCCCTAATTAGCAGCACCCTGTAATATTAGGGGACAGTGAATGGTAGACATATAAAAAGAAGCAAATATACATATATGAATATAATTATTGCTACATTACACTTACCATGCAAGGAATCTAAAGTGACTTACACGGTTCTCCTCCTCTCCACATTATCCTCAGAGCAACAACTTTGTGAGGTAGGTTAGGCTGCGAGTGTTTCCTTCATAACAGCAACCCCAATGGACAAATTGCAGAAAGAGAATGAGGACATGAAGATTCCTGCTGCACAAACTCTATATGTGCCAAGAGTTGGAGGGAGTCCATAACAAGCCACACCCAATTTTCTGTTAGGAGTAATGTAGCTTACTAACTGAATAATCAACTCAAAAGTGTCTGGCAGGTGTGTGAATTGAGCTGATCATAGATTGCTTGATTAGAAGTGGAAACGGCTGGCACGCTGCAGGCAACGCATTTTCATACCTGGTCACCCAATTGGTTGTATAATCCATTTTGTACGTATTGCCCTGTAATAACAACCCATGGGCAATACGTACAAAATGTTGGCTTGTGAAGAAGCCTACGTTCATAAGCTAACAACAACAACCAAAATTAGTTCTCTTTTTTGGATGTTTGTTCTGTAGATGCACAAAACAACAATGCAAAGCAACCTATTTGCAAATTAGGCCATGTGTCTCAAAGGCAGCAGAATATAAATACAAACAAATTATTTCCAACACCCAGTAGTGGGGATTATTCCGAGTAGTTCCAGGCTATTTTAAGCACTAAAAACGAGATACTGTACCATCTAAAAGATTATTTGGCTTCACATAAAATGTTACTGTTACTGATTTTAAAATCACATAACTAGTTTTTCTTTCATTAACAGTGGTTCAAAATGGATAGCACTGCTTTACCATTTTGTTGCCATGTTTGATTTGATAAATTGTGTACAAGGGCTTACTTTTTTGAAAACTGGAGATTTGCCCAACTGTTAACTTTTTTTTTTTTTTTAATTTCACAGAGACGGAAGGTTTCAAGATTGATACCATGGGCACCTACCATGGAATGACACTGAAGTCTGTAACGGTAAGTTGGAAAAAAACTTGCGGTGTTTTGCATGGATTTTTTCTTCTCCTTCCTAAACTGGGAAGTGTCTGTTATATTAAAGGGCAGCAAACAAAACTAATTTCTAAGCAATGCTAGAAGTGTCTTGACTTTCTCCTCTTTCGATATTGTTGAAATCTCTCGCTCTTTTCAATACCGTTCTTTCTAGAATGACAGATTTTATACCAGCATAATTTTTATATATATAGTTCTCTGTCACAAGGGTACAAATTGAATAATGGAAGTTGTACATAAAAAAGGAGGAACATCCCTTTCAAATGACTTGATGGTTCATTTTCATGTAGATAGTTTTCCCCAGCAGCTGAAAGGCGTGCATCCCTAAAATGGAATTTCAGGCTGTGCTTGTCTTAAATTGTCTGCTTTTATGGAAGTGGTTTGAGCTTTTGCAAACAAATGCTGTTTTGATCTGCCTGCAAGTAGGACAGATGCTACAGAACCAGTATAGAAGCATCATTAAGGACTTTTGCCATCTGTATGCCTATACAAATCTGATGAATAGATGGCACTAAACAGTCTCCAAAAATCTGTGCACCTACTTCTACTTTGCTCTCCTAATTTGAACATAAAATAATGCCTGGAATGTAAATGTCTCAAAGCCAATTAAAGCACACTTGTTTAAACTTTCCCCTTATCTAATAAAATTGGTCCTTAAGATTTTACTAGCATTTTCCACTCTTTAAAGATTGGCCTCTAGTTCAATTTGTAGGCTTACTTTAAAATGACTAATTGGTTTAGGGCTAAATCTACATATTGCAAAGAATACTACTCAGAGCATTCGTAGACACTGTTAATAAGCAAAAGACATTAAGTTATTGAAGCTCTTTGCTATTAGTTGGGGAAATAAGTGGCAAGTATCCTAACATCAACATCATGCCTGTAAAAGTTGGCTTAATACATTTATATGATGGCTGATAGTGTGTTGCTTCTATTTTGTCAATACAAAATGGGACACAAAACTATGCTTTGCTTTCAGAAAAAAAATGACTTTTTAAAAAGCTGTTCTTGGACAAAATTTTCTGAAAATCTATGGAAGGCAGCTAAAGAACATGCCACTTGATAATGTGCATGCCCCAGGTTTACTTCAGGGGTTCCTTGCTTAATTATTCCTGCCTAATTTTTTATATGTTGCTGGTATATGTGCACGAAGTATCCACTTGATTATTTCAATCTTCTGACATGGCAAGTAGGTCTCCAGAAAAAGTATATTAGTTCTACTTTGTCAGGTATGGCCAAAATGAAGCCACTTAAGAGAACTTCTAGCAATACTTCCTGACTAAAAGGAACTCCTTCCTGAGTGAATGGTCTGTTTGCTAACCGTGGTGATTGTGGGCTGTATTTACAGCCAAAGCCAATCATGGTAATCTTGGCTACCAGATTTCAGATTGCTCTGGAGCTCTTAAGGGCCACCATCCCTGTTCTTGAGTATCATCCAGTCGCTTAAGGATGCTGTTGGTTGTGTATGGCAGGGTGTTGAACCTCATTCAGCATACAGACTTAGTTCAACATTGGAGACGCTGCTAGGGCTGCATTCCAATGGACAGGAACGTGCCAAAATGGACATCCTGTTTTAGCTGAAAGTTCTTAGTGGCAGTAACTGATCCTTTGCAGAACCTTATTTCAGTTCTTTGAGAATGAGATAAATAAGCACAGATGCTGGGAAACCACCTGACTATGGGTAGGTGAAATGGGCTGTCTCGGGGGCATGGAAATGGCCATCTAGGGAATCTTGAAGGTCTGAATTTGGCACTCCACGTGGACCAGTTTTGTCTCATGCGACTGAGATGCAATATCCCTGCTGAGAATTCTCTTTAATAGAATGTATGGGCTTTCCTTAAAAGGAGGGGTGTTCAGAAGTTAAGAGATGGGACCACAGCAACAGCCTTGCAGTATTGTACTGTTGTTGCATGCATAGTTAAGGAAATTGTCCCAGCTAGATGGAATGGTTAAAATGATCTCTGGAGAGTAGCTCCATATACATATGAACCGCTGAAGGAATGTTTGGCATTATAATGCCATTGGACCTTTTAATCCTGGTTTACCATGTTACCCCACTCAAGTGTTGAAAATTTTATGACAAGGTTATATGAAATTTAGAATGCTGTTTGGAAAATATGGCTTATCATTAACTCAGATTTCAAAGGCATTATGGTACAGAATTTTTAGCTCTTTCATGAAAGTTAAGTGCCTGGATTTTTTTTTCTGCCTCCTTATTATCAATGATGAGCTTGTGCAAAACTTCTTACAACTTTGACAGAACAGATGGCAGAGGGTTTTTTCCAAGTTGTCCTGGAATGGTTCTTACTTAATTGGCATATCTACTTTCTGTATTGGATATTTTAATGAATTTTGGTTGCTGAATTATAGCTTTCATTATTTTTTGGGTAGGTGATTTATGCATATTAAGGATGCCTCTTTCTTTCCTTCCTTCCTCTTTTTCCTGAAAAATGTCCTTTGTTTTCTGGTCTGCTACCACTACCACAGTACTTTAAAAACATTCTAGCTAACTCTGTACATAATATACTATCTATATCTTTTTATACAATGTAAAGTCCTTCATACGTTTATATTTTTTCTTTCTGTAAATTCGATTATAAAATCCCTATTCTCTTTTTTTGGAGTATTTTTTTTTTAAGTTTGCAAGCTATAGCAGGGTTTGGAATATGGAAAATGTGGGGTTGATTTCTATTTCTTATATTAGGTTTATAGCTTGTTCAGTTTTAAGACTCAGTCTCTTATATTTATTGCTAATCCTAAGACATGCATCTGGGACTTGGAAGACCCATGCTGATACTGTCCACTGCCATATGAGGGAATAAGTTTGGTTGGAATATGAGGGAATAAGGCTGGAAAGGGCCTCAGCCTCATGCAAGTGCAGGAAATCCACTTCTATGATTCTTGATAAGTAGCTAAGCTGCTACTTTGAAACTTCTGGGAAAGGAGAGTAAAAACAGTGCATACCATTTGTAAAGGTTCTAAATAGATAAAAATTGATTTAAAAAATCTGCTTAGACTGTGCTATGTACCTTGCCTTGAAGGCAGAAGTTCCAGAATGGGAAATCTAGTTACATAGTGATAGCTTTAAAAGTTTCTTTGTAAAGTTGATCACAATTTAATGAAGCGGAGAACTGGGTAAAGAAAAATGGGCAGTAAGCAAGCACAAATTATGGTTTGGTTGGTTCTTAAAAAGTTAGCCAAACCAAGCAGTCTGTCTGCTTATCTTATCATGTTAGAATGAGGTGGTTTAGATGTATATAAAAAGCTTTATATACATCCTAAGAAAGTATGAATCAGAAAATAGTGGAAATTGTCCTAAACTGATCTGATTTAGCATACTTGTTTGAAATATTTAGAAAACTAAATTGTGTGTTGTATTCAGAAGCAGCTGAAATATTTGATCAGGGAAAATACTCAATGAAGCACATGTAATATAGCTCAAACAGATTAAACGCTTTACTTAAAATAATTTTTCAAGTGGAATGCTTGCAAATATTTTAAAGACATGACAGGGATAGAATATATTTTTCTTACATTAGTTTCTAAGGGGTGAAATGAAAACAGAGCCAAACCAAGATACTGTGATGCCTGCGACTGGGGGAAAATGGTGCCATGTTATGGTGAACAGAACCCCATGCTGGCTATGTTTATTTTTGGGGACCCAGGAATCTTAAAAGGGTTTTTCTTGCTTTTTGGCAGTAATAATTCAACAGTATTACTCTAAATAACTTGTTTCCATTTCATGCCCCTGAAATTAGCTACCTGAAGTGGCTGCATCACTCTGCCTAACAGCAAAGCTGGCCCTTACTGAAATCTATTAATATACTGATTTGAGTATGACTGAAGGAGTAAACATTTATGTGCTGCATAGTGACAGTCAAGTGGGAAAAAAGTTCATTACAATTTTCATATTTTTGAATTGACATATATTGTGTCCATTCCAATGTTTAATTTGACCTATAGTGTATCATTCATTATATAGCTAATTCATATTATTAAACAGTGCATTTCTAAAGGTGTGGATGAACTTTTCAAGGGTCAGTTCTGCTGACACTCTTTTCAGAACCTGTTTTGAAAATTCCGGTGTGGACATTTGCCAGAAATGCTGTAAACTTTGTTCGTTGTGCTTTTTAATATAGCAAAGCTCAGCAAGTACAAAGTACTGCATTTTTATGTTTCATTGTCTTGCTGGTGTCACAGTGTCATGCTCTTAAACAGTTTCCAAGAAAATATATATATATATATATATATATATATATATGGAATGCTTATACTTAAGATAATTAGCAGGCATACATATTGCCAGAGATACAAACACCAGCTAATATATATAATGGTTATAAAGTTACATTTCCCCTGAGTACAATACAATATGGACAGGGAAAGGAAAACAAGACAATATAATACTATCTTAAATTTGTTGCAAGCTCTTAAGGAAAATAAATTTGATTCATAGGACCACTTCCTACTCTGAGGTGATTTTCCAGAAGGTAAGGGTAATGTGCTAAACCCAAAGGTAGAAATTGAGATATTCCCACCTCCTGGGAATGCAATGCTTAGTGGTATAGGACAGCTGTATACTCCTTTTGGTGAGTTAAAGGTTTACACAGTCTTGGCAGTCTAGCAACAAAGTAACACTAAAGCTTTCCTTGGCAAGCCTAGGGGAAAAAATAGAAGGTATTTCAGTTTATTTTTAAAAATAGACTTGTATTAAGCTGTTGTATTATTATCTGCCATGCATATTCTGCCATAAATTTCTTTGAGGAAGACTTTAAATGAAGCTTTCTGATAAACTGAAACAAAGCATGGCTTGACAGATCTGGAACATCAGAGCTCCTCCTTTCATCTCTTTGCTTATGGGTTGCATCGATGCAGCCCTCCTCCGCTTTTCACCCAGCTCTTGTGAGCAGAATTGTGTTAATTCCAAAGTGTAAGTTTTCGAGCATTTTCCTTCCAAAGCAGTTGTC